GCCGCGGCCAAAGGCGACGTCACCCGACTTGAAACCCTGTGTATGGCAGGCGTTGATTTCAACCAAGTGGACTCATTCGGTAGGACACCATTACACGTGGTAAATATTACTATCAATCTATTTTGTTAAACTGTTTCCTAATCTCTCGCCGGTGTTTGTTTTGCCGTGAAAACAGGCCATTGAACTGAACCAACAAAATGTGGTCCGATTTCTTGTCAAACAGAATGTGAATCAATTGAAGACCGATATCTACGGCCGAAACGCCCAACAAATGGCCATACATTTCGGTAATCCAGAAGTTCTCGATGTTTTGCGACAATCGGTTTAATCTGTGAACACAAACACAATATCAATCAGAATATTTAAAATTGTTATTATTGTCCAATTTATTAGTTAATCCATTATTTAATCGTTGGATAAGAAATATCTATTTATTATCAATCATTTATCATTACTGTATTTTTATTAATATAAATTCAATCAAATCCCTATTAAAATTTAGTACCAAAATAAAAACAATTATTTAATTAAGTTTTTTGGAAAATTATTTATATCTATTTTATTTTAATCTATGTATAAATTAAGTTGTAATACGATTCACTTGTAATGTTGGGCACTATCTAAATACAGAATAATTAACCAAATAATAATTTCAAATGATAAAACCAAATTTATTTCAAGTCATTTCAGTTTAGATTTATCTTTAAATATTAAAATGTGTTAATATTTCTCTCCAAATTTCAGACCAAATTATTATTCATTAAATCAATTGCTTAACAATTGAAAGCATTATTTTTCCATTAGTTTATAAACTTTTATTTAAATATATATTACATTTTAATTTGTAAAAAACACAATCAATAGTTAATACAGGCCGAATCGACCGGTTCTCTGGCCAATGAAAGCAAAGTATTGGTACTATTCTCGGGCGGAACCATCGGAATGATGAAGAACCATAAGGGAGGTTTGTGTACCATCATGATACGATTACCTTGACACAATTTCTAATATAAATATTTGTATAGTATATGCGCCAAAAGCTGGTGCTTTGGTTCCGGCCCTCCGAAAGTACCCCCAACTCCACGATCCGGAATATGTGATCAAACATATGAAAATGCCTGAGAATCAGTCACCACTTGTCTTACCGTAAGTGATATTTGTTTGAAAATTATTTTATAGTTTATAATTGAGATTTAATTTTTGCTGCATTTTTTATAACGAGTTGTTTTTGTAAATAAAATTTGAAATAATTAGTGATAAGAAAGAGATTATATTGAAAAATATATTCAATGTTAACACAAATATTGATATTTAATAAAAATTAAATTATTATTTTGCTGTCATATGATGTGTCCTCACATCGTGTGCACCGTTTTATGTCCAACACAGAGATACGGGCGAATCAAGTCGTGTCGTGTACACCATCTATGAATATGAGCCGCTGTTGGACTCATCCAACTTCACGGTTGACGACTGGATCACTATCGCACTCGATATACAGGTGCCCATTACTGTCCCGGACACTCAATCCCTTATTATTTGTATCCTATTTACCATATTTCTTATCATTACTTCCTTTAACAGCGAAATTACCATCACTTCAACGGTTTTGTTATACTTCACGGAACCGATACAATGGTATTGCACTTAATTATCAATTTATTTACTAAATATTATCTGTGATAGCATTTTATTTCAAAGTCTGTTGTATGAAAATTTGCATTTAAATTATTTTATGATTCAATTAATAACAATTAATATTATAAACCGTTTTGATTATATGAAACAACTTTAATAGTTGAGCCCATATTTTATAAATATAATTATATAATTTGTATTACATTTTTATATTTGATAACAATGTGACACTTGATATAACTTATATAATTTTTACAACACTTTCACTTACATTATCAGTATTTTATAAGTGTTTGATTGCAATTCAATTAAGACAATTATTAGTTACGGAAACTAATTATAGATAACATATTTGTAATACTAGTCATACACGGCGTCCGCTCTGTCCTATATGTTGGAGAATTTAGGCAAAACAGTGGTCATAACCGGGAGTCAAATCCCATTGTTTGAGCCCCGAAGCGATGGCCGCGAAAACTTACTTAATTCGTTGATAATTGCGGGCAATTATTGTATACCAGAAGTGACGATACTATTTAACAATAAACTCATGCGAGGGAACCGCACCTGTAAAGTGTCCACAAGTCATTTGGACGCATTTGATTCGCCAAATATGGCCCCTTTGGTCACAATCGGCATCACTATTAATGGTAGGAAAATCAGAGATAAATTATCAGTAAATCAATCATTAGTTACTATAATATTATTATAATATTTGATTTTGTCAACCGTTGGGATCAGTCGACTGGAACAGTGTCTTCCGATGGCCAACAGTTGCCAAATTCTGTGTCCATTCGGTTCTGTCGCCAAATGTGGGACTTTTACGACTGTTTCCAAGTATATCGTTAGAAACGGTCAGTCCTTTTGACATTTAATTTATAATCCAATCGCTATATAATCGATGCCATTGACGGTTAGGTTCGGGCCTTCTTAACACATCCAATAGAGGGTGTAGTTCTCCAGACATACGGCGCCGGGAATGCGCCGTCCAATCGGCGCGATATTCTGGAAGAGTTCCGTAAAGCCACAGATCGGGGCGTTATTATTGTTAATATAACCCAATGCTGGAGCGGACAAGTGGTGGCCAGTTATGAAACGGGCAACGCTCTCGTCGAGGCCGGAGTCATATCCGGTTCCGATATGACACCCGAGGCCTGTCTCACCAAACTTTCATATGTCTTGAGTAAACAAGAGTGGGATAACAAACAGAAGAGAAAAGTAATTCATTTTATCAGTAATAAAGATAATTGTCAATTATTACGGTCTCTCTCTCTCTCTCTCTCTCTCTCTCTTTCTCACTCACTCACTCACTCCCACAGATAATTGAAAGCAATTTGTGCGGAGAATTGAGCACTTATTTGGACACAAAATACGAAGACATTGAGCTGATCCGCGGAATCGCTCAATCGTTACGAGTGTCGACCGGACAGGAGATGCAGGCGTTGCGGAACGCCTTATACCCGGCCATTGTGTGCGCCATCGCAGCCAAAGGCGATGTCAATGAACTGGAAAAACTTCGAGAGTCATCGGCGGTGGACCTGTCGTCGCCCGACTATGAGCTCCGGACACCGCTTCACACCGGTATGTGTTCTTCGCGACCATTGAATCGGCGATTGTTTAATACATATGTGTTTCTCTTCATTAATAGCCGTATCCAATGGTCACAAAGAGGTTGTCGAGTATCTATTGAGCGAAGGTATTGAACTAATGTTTTGTCACATATTAACTACAGTATTGACCGGTAATTACTCTAACCATTAGTTAATCTAACAATTTATTTGTGCGTTAAATGTTTGTAATGTCTAAAAGCTTTGGTCACTAATAAATAATTAATTAACTCAAATACTAATTACCTGTCGTTTCCGCACAACTCTTTGCGGCACTTATTGTTTGTCTGCTGTGAACGACATTATGTCAAACTTATACTAAACCCCTACCCGTGCCCTCTCTGTCCACCCGTGCTATATATAGGATCTAATGTTCACGCGAAGGACAAGAACCACGAGACACCCTTACAGATAGCCATCCGACACGATCTCAAAGAAATTGTGGAGATGTTATTACTGGCCGGCGCTCACCTCGATATACAACCCATACGGGCGGCCAATTTGGCCACAAAAGCCGCGGCCAAAGGCGACGTCACCCGACTTGAAACCCTGTGTATGGCAGGCGTTGATTTCAACCAAGTGGACTCATTCGGTAGGACACCATTACACGTGGTAAATATTACTATCAATCTATTTTGTTTAAACTGTTTCCTAATCTCTCGCCGGTGTTTGTTTGCCGTGAAAAACAGGCCATTGAACTGAACCAACAAAATGTGGTCCGATTTCTTGTCAAACAGAATGTGAATCAACTGAAGACCGATATCTACGGCCGAAACGCCCAACAAATGGCCATACATTTCGGTAATCCAGAAGTTCTTGATGTTTTGCGACAATCGGTTTAATCTGTAAACTCAACACAATATCAATCAGAATATTTAAAACAATATATTGTTATTATTGTCCGATTTATTAGTTAATCCATTAGTTAATCGTTGGATAAGAAATATCTAATTTATTTATTACCAATCATTTATCATTACCGTATTTTTATTAATATAAATTCAATTAAATTCTTGTTAAAATTTAGAAAAAATAAAGACAATTATTTAATTAAGTTTTTTTGTAAAAATATTTATTTATAAATTATTCATATCTATTTTATTTTAATCTACACTATTTTAATTATGTATGTATTAATTAAGTTATAATATGATTCACTTGTAATGTTGGGCACTATTTAAATGCAGAATAATTAATCATATGATAAGTTATGGCATAGAAAGTTTATTTCAAGTCATTTCAGTCAATTCAGATTTATGTTTAAATATTATAATATTTCTCTCCAAAATTCAAACCAAATTATTATTCATTAAATCAATTGCTTAACAATTGAAAGCATTATTTTTCCATTAGTTTATAAACTTTTATTTAAATATATATTACATTTTAATTTGTAAAAAACACAATCAATAGTTAATACAAACAAATCTCTGAAAATTAGTGCAAAACATTCAATATTAGTTGAAATTATATTAAAATGTAAATCAAATATCAATTTTATGAATATGTATTCAACGGAGCTATCGATACGACTTCGTGGATGGGCTGATCACCAGTTGTGGCATCGCTTCTGCGGATTATCCAATCGACGCCATTATATCTGTCAGATGTGTCGCATATATTCCATAACGTATTGTCCGCTTGAAGAGCGGCCTCCGGATCGTCCAATAGGTCGCGAGCGTCGAAACCGCCGGTCAGCACATCCACAGCTCTGTTCCCTCGAAGACATACTCGAGTTGTGTCACAATTGGAGTCTTTAATGAAGAATACAATGGCGTAAAAGTGCTGTAATTTATACGAATTATTATTATGATTAATGGCTATATTCTCGGACTGTTGTCCGCAATCGGGACACTCATCGAGCGGACACTCATCGGCGCCGATCTGGTGCTCGAGAGTCTTAACGGTCGCGGAGTAGAGACAGACCGGACAGCGAACGATCACAAACTGCTTCACAGGAAACACACTGTGCGGCAACAGATCCACTATTTTAGCTCTGATCAGAAACAATGACTGCTGCGCGCCATCGGAGGTCACACTCGTGTCCAGTGATTCCAGATCTTCGATGAGTCGGCACTGACCTACAGATCCGAGAAATCGTTTGGCCGGGAATCGCGACAATTGGCGACTCTTTGCCAATACTTTTTCGATGTCTTTTAAATTATATTTATATGAATTGCGATAAACGGGCGGAAAGTCTTTTTCGCGGATCTGTTGATTGTAGAGGTTTTGGAGTCGACGACAGCCCAGCGCTAACAGTTCAGTGGCTAATGGCTCGTCAACAACGGTCACAATGTCTTCGACGATCGGCGTCTCGTCCAGAAGTGGTGGCAGAGATAAGGTTTCATTCATATCGTCGACAAATGTGTTGTTGTGAACGCTGTGGTGATCGTCATCGACAGTGTCATCGATAGCATCACCGCCGGCAACACTATCGCCACCGACGGCGCGATCAACTTTGCGCTCCCGATCGCCGATTCGGGCCAACAAGAGTCGGCCCAAAATGCTGTTGCGGTGAACTTTGCGGACACCTTTGCCGTAATGACGACCGGATCGCAAGTGTAGAGTAACGCTGGATCTGTCCTCCGGAGAGCGAGTTATCTCTACGTTAAAGAGAATGAGTAAATCGTCGCCATTCATAAGAGTGGTTCCTTCGGCGACATCGAAGTGGTCGTTGTGTTGATTCGACCTATTCTTCCAGACGTTCACAAACACCAGTTTCTTTGGATCCATTCGATACGGCATCAGAAACGACATATTATTCAATCGATGGTAGCGATTGGCGGGCAACTCTGCGCCGATCACCTCGTAATTGATTTGCCTTTGATTGTGGACACTATCTGTCGGTTGAGAGCCATCATAACACGTCAGAAGAATGCTTTGACTATACAATTGCGAAGCCATCACAAGACACGCAAAGTCCACGTATTTATCAGCGATATTGTGGGTAATAGTGGCCGCAGTGGACGCGTTATCAGTCTCTTCAGCCGATATTTGCTGTGCCGGAGACCTGAAGAGTGTGTCAAAGCTGTTGTGGCGGAGGAATGTGTGAGCGAACCACTGTTCCAGCAGTAGACACACGGGTCGGTCGTAATCCATGGGCTCAATAGTGGCGTTGGCCGTGAAGATGTCGTATCGGTTGGGATCCGTTGACTCGTAATCATACGTAAAGGCGTGGAATTGAGCGAAATTTTTGCGCTCATTCACCGCAAACATCTGCGACACAACAAATACATGGATCAGCTACTGGTGATAACAACAAACTTCATGTCACATACCTTTCCAGTGATGGACGTAACGATGACAACGCCGGTGAGTCTTATGATGTTTTTGGTGACAATATTAGTGTTGATATTATTGATGATGAAAGTGATGGGCGTCTGAACGGTGGGATCCACCACTTGGACCCTCTTCTGCATATCGTTGTACGTATTGACCGCATCGACCACACCGTAAACGTTGACCACTCGGCCGATCAGCTGATCGTCGGTGGAGTGACCGCCGGTCAGCGCCGAAGACACGTGTCTTAAAGTGGCGAATCGTCCCAAAGTGGCCGCCCGTAGCCTTTGCTCGTAGTCTTTGGCCACCATCTCATCCACTGACCAGTGTTTGGCCATCGGCTTTGACCGCAACGAGTGATCACTTCTTGTGCCGCAAAAAATGTGACCAAATGTTTGTATTGTTTATGTTTTTTGTTGTCAAATGTTTTCAAACACTGTTTTGAATGCAATGTTTTGATTGGCTATACGTTTGTTGTGTTCATAGATTCATATCAATTACGGCTTTTAAAACTGAAGTTAACTTTTGTTGAGATTTTTGAATTATTTAAATTTTGAATTGAATTGATCATGGTTTGAATTTATTGACTATGCACGTTTTAATAATATACAAATTAACATTATATAATAGTATTGTTAATATTTATTATGTATTTAATTTTAAGTAAATTTAAACTTTTACAAATTAAAACAATATTAAGTTAATGACTTGCTTTGAATTTAGTTGCATAAATACAATCATAATGATTAAATTTGTATTTAAATTAACATTTACCATTATGTTATGAATTATAAGTCAGAATTATAACTTATGATGTTTATATATGAATGCTTAATAATTTAATTAATGTACAATTAATTTTATAAATTTGGCGTAAAATGTATTAAAATATGTAATTTATCAAAGTGTATGCAGTTTATGAAATTAATATCATCATGTACATTTTTATCATATCAATAAAATCATACCATAAAACAAACTAAACTTATGTTTATATAATTTAAATGATTGTATATTTATATGAAGCAATTGAAGGGCACATTGAATGGTAAGTTAAGCGACCGATTGGTTAAATAGTGATCACAACCAAAACTAAACATCCATTTAATCCAATCTTTTATATTTTGTATTTAAAAATAATTGCAGAAATGTCTTAACACTGAAGAGTCGACCGCTGGAAGTGGTAAGCGATTGGTGTGCGACAATGCCATCCATACAATCGGCACATTTTGTGATCACCAATTCGTGACAATTTTTATGGACATATGTCGAGCACACTGTGCGGTCGGAGCAGACAATTATAAACCAAAAATAATACAACTAATGTAGTGAATACAAACCCTGGCACTGGTAGCACATTCTGTCCGCTCCGGCGGGCAGTGCCGCGATATACTCGCAACAATGGCAGCATCGGGTCGGTTGACACACACGGGTTGGCGTGAATTTGTGGCCATTCACGCGATACACGCGACGCCTTACGGCACCCTTTCTCTGGTACGAGTTGTGCCGTTCAGTGAACTGTTTGTCCTCCGACTGCGAGGCCATCCATACGGTGTCCGACCAACTCATCTAGAAATACATTCAATGCGTTTATGTCTCGTGTTTTGATGTGAGTCTACACTCTGAGAGTCGTAACAAATCCTATCCACTGACCCGTTGTCAACGCTATGGCCAGTACTGCGCGATAAGGTATGTATCGGTGCGATGAGTCACGAGTGTTGAACTCGCGGTTTATTTGGTCAAAATGACATCAATTTAAGGATTTTTAAGTGCAACTCGAGTCGTCTGAACGGCGCCTCAAAATATTACACCAAACTCTATGTCTGTGTGTTATGTCTGGCAAACTGTAAGGGCAGAGTCAATGGGGGAGTGTATGGGAGAGGGAGTCAGTGAGAGTGTACAGCGCTGTAAGCGTTGATAGCATTCACATTAGTAATAGGCTTAACACATGTACTCTCTCTGCGATTATACCGCCGCTCTCTTTAAGCCAAACTTTGTTTTACATGTTTTTTCAATGCAATTATTTTTTTTGGCAATTATTTAAGTTTTTTTTTATTTAAAAGTTTTTATTTTAATTCAAGTTTTAGTTTAAATATTATTTTTTATTTCTTATAAAGTTATTGATAATTATTATTAGTTATAAAACTATTGAAACTTTTTTATTATTTATTTTTAATGATTAAAATATAACTAAAAATTAATTACAGATTACATACTATTAGTTTTGATCACAGATTATATATTAATTACAATTTTTAATTAAAGTAAATATAAAACAATTAAAATTTATAAGTTTTGACAATTAAGGCATTAAAATAGTTTAGAGAGAGAGAGAGAGTCAGTGATTGTGAGCCAAATAATTGACACCAAAATTAGCTTTCATTTGATTTTGATTTTGAATTTAGTTTTTTTAGTAATAGAGAGAGAGAGAGAGAGAGAGAGAGAGAGCTAACAGTTGTCCACTTGGTTAATAAGCCTGAGCTGACTGTGAGATCCAATGACCACAAGAGTTGGTACTTTGAGTGAAGAGTGTCTCGACATTGGAAGCGCTTCTGGAGACGCGGATCTTATTATGAGTTTTGATGAGATGGTAGACCTCGTGTTCGGTGCGGCAGTTGTGGAAGTCGTTGGCCGGAATGCCCACCCCTTGTATGGCACCGACCACTGACTTACGGAGATTGTAAAACACGGTCAGCACTCGTCGGTCACTCATACTTGATATCATATTCTTCACACCCTTTTCAATGGCAAAAACAATATGAAAATCACATTTAATAGTATTTAATACACAGAATATTGTGTTCAAGAATTATTACAATAAGTAACACAATTAGACCAATACCTGAGCGAAGGTGGAGTCGGCTCTGAACATGTGCTCGCCGTCCAACACGACCGCAATCTTGGAGGACATCTCCCGACAGTCGGGCAGCTCTTTATTAATCTTCACTTTCATGTATTCAATGGATGGGAAGAATACACTTCTATCGGGCTTTACGTATAGGAATGGGTAGCCGTCGGGTGTGTTCTTGTGGACAATGAATACCTTAGGTCTGGCCATTTGGTACAACAATATGATGAGCGACGACCCGATGCCGGCCACTATGCCGTACTCGAGGCCCAGTAGGAGACAGACGACGAACGTTGATATATAAGGCAAGACATCGACTTTGTTTGTGTGCCATATGAGGAATGGATCCAACGGTCTCAACATGAATATGACGGCCGTAATGATGATTGTGGCCAAAACTGTTTGCGGTATATACTGGAAATACGGGGCCAAAGTGCTGAGTGCCAGCAATACGAGGCCACCCGTCACTATCCCACCAAACGGTGTCCGAACTCCAGAGTTATGATTGACAGCCGATCGCGAGAAGCTGCCGGTCGCTGCAAATGCACCGAAACACGACCCGAGGATATTACACGTGCCGATGGCCAGCATCTCTTGCGTGGCGTCCAGTTTGGCCGTCTCGAAGGCTTTGGCCACCGCTACCGACTCCATGAGACCCAAGAGGGCCACAACAAACACACCGGTTCCCAAGTCTGAGAATATCTGGCCAAACGCCGTGTCCGTAGTGTTGGTGTGCAGTGAAAACGGTGGCAATTGAAACGGCGGTAAACCTGTGCGGATCTGACCCGTCAGTGTGAACAAGTGTGAGCCCGAGTAATAGCCGGCTATGAGTGCGCCGATTATGACCACCAATGCGTTACGTGCGGTGACTGTCATCATCCAAACGCTGTTCAGAAATTGATACCATCGATGGCGCGCTTTCGTGTCCATACCGTCTTCGGAGGGTCTGAAGCGAAAGTCTTTTGCCAATTGAATGGGAATGAGAAACAGTAGACACGCGACACCCATACCGGTGTCCCACGGGTTGATGTCTGTCAAGTTGGCCGCGACCTTAACCATAGTGTCCGTGAATCGGGAGGCCGTGAAGTGCATACCGAACAGTAGTTTCAATTGCGAGGCGGCGATAGTGATGGCGGCCGCCGATGAAAAGCTCGATATCACCGGATATGAGATGAAGTCGACTATAAACCCCAAGTTTAGGACACCAAACAGGAATTGTATACAACCGGCCAAAAAGGCCAATAGTATTGAGTACTCGACGCCACCCATCATCACATACGGGGCCACAATAATGGCCATTATAGACGTCGGGCCGACCGCCACGTCCTTACAGCTGCCGAGGAAGGCGTATACGAAGCAACCCATGAACGACGTGTAGAGGCCGTACTGTGCGGGCAGACCGGCCAACACCGCCAGCGCCAGTCCCTGCGGTACTATTGTGAAGGCCACCGATAGGCCGGCGATTACGTCACCCTTAAGATCGGCTAAAGAGTAGTTCGGGAGCCACGAGAGGAATGGCAGCCGTCGGCGGAGTTTCTCGTGCGTGAAATATCGTTGTCTGAACCAAAGGCAACACTCGCCGACTGTCATCTCATCCGATTCCTCCAGATCTAGCATAAGACCTGGCGATAGAATCATTGATAATTAACTTCTAATCAATCTTATGGTATATTTACTTGTGTCCCGATCTCTGCCATCTTCGCTGTCTTCGTTTAGATCAGACTCATGATAATCGTTGAGTTTATTTCCTTTAAACCGTTGTCCGTTATTTGATCCAAAGATCTTTTCGTACGGATACTTGCCGTTTGTTTCATTCATAGTTTTATTAGTATTTATTTTAATTGATAATTAATACAAATTTCTTACTATACTTTTATAATACACATCGAAAAAATTGAAACTATTTTTTAACTAAAATATTTACTTAACTAGATTTAATTATCAGATAATTAGCATGTTTTTTACGTAAGTGTTTATTAATATTTTAGCCATTTATAATGAAATACTTGAATATAATAGCTATTTATAAATTTCCACTTAATCTCTGGTTGTTTTTAACGTTCAATACTATGAAAGAAAATGAATTATTTGTTATTTTGAATCGATTTTCTTATCGCATATTAATTGCGATAACAAGTGATATGAATGTGTGGTTTATTTGTGGATAAAAGTGTTGATCAAAAGTCGAGTGTTGGCTAAAGAATAATCAATGTGAAAGTTGTTTGAACTAAACAACATAGTTCACCAATACAGATTAACCACCCGTTCACTGTGTATCTCAATCTAAATATGTTTGAATCAGATTATAAGGGTATGAGTGTTGGTGGTGGTGACGGCTGGTCTGATCCATACATCTGATCCCTAATCTATAATCCCATATACGTGTGTCTATAGTGTAAAAACTTTACTTGTAATGTTTAGTACACTAAAAATCAATGGAAATATTAATAGAAAAATACCAGCGAAACAATAAATGTCAGAAAAATTATACATAAATTATTTGATAACAAATATTTGTATTATTTGTTAATGACTTTGATATTTGCATTGAAATCTATTGACACCAAAACGTTTTTTTTATCTAACAAACAGTTAAACGCTTTAATCACTCATTTAATGTAAATTTATTATACAGTAATATTTTATACATTTAGCATAAGATTATGATTTATGACGATATGGCCCTATGCGAGCCCACGGCTGACGAGATGAAGTACGAGTGGACAGATGTGACCGCCATTACTGACCGAATGGCGGGAATTGAGTTAACAGTCAAACCGTGCGCTGATTGTAACGAAGAGATCACTGCCACCGGTGAAGACTGTAGGCCAATGGTCCAACACATGGCTGAGAAACACTTGAAACAGTTGTGTCCGGTGTGTTCCCAATTGTTTGATCTTCGCCTCCCCGGACATAACAACTACTTCCAGCTTCATGTGGACAATCATCTCAGACAACCACCCGATAACCATTCATATGAGTCAGTAATTGGTTTAATTAAATCCATGCAAATCA